TGTTAACTGGGTCTGTCTGTTACGGCAGAAAGAACAAAGCATCTTGGAAGCTCTAAAGGCTGACTGGTTTTATTGGACAAAACTTTCTGATTACATCAGCTGTTCTCTAATCCAAAACCAAATCCTTTGAACAAAACAGAGTCTTGTTAGGACAGACATATTATCAAGCATGGGATGGGGTAGAAAGAGGAAATTTCTCCCCAAGAGGCCCATGTTGCTTTAGATGGCAACTGGTCCTTTGGTGTGTGTCTCTGTTAAATCCCATGTTCTTAGCCATGCTGTTGAGGGGATTCTGGGAGGTGCAGTGACCCCCTCGCCCCCAAAAATACTGTATCTTCCCATATAAGCTTGCATGGGCTCTGAGACCTTCAAAGGAGGCTTTTCTCTCTGGGCCAAAACACACTGCAGAAATAGTCCAGTTTCACACCACTTTAGTGCTAGGGGATCCTGGGAATGGTAGTTTGTGGTGGCACAAGAGCTCTTGGATAGATAAGGCTAAATGTCTTGCAAAATGCAGTTCCCAGAATTCCCTAGCATTGAGCCAGGGCAGTTAAAGCATTCTCAGAGGGGTTGATTTCTGCAGTGTGTTTTGGCCATTGCAGTTTGACACTGCTTTAACGGCCATGACTCCATCTGATGGAATTCTGGGATTTGTAGTTTGTTGTGGCATCAGCACTCTCTGACAGAGTAGGCAAAAGATCTCACAAAACTGCAGATCCCAGTCTCCCATAGCTTTGAGCTATGGTACTCAAAGCGTTGCCAAGCTGCATTAATTCTGCAGTGCGGGAGCATCCTTCATCTCCCCATTTTCATTGGCAGTTTGATGGGAGCAAGGCAGAGGGTCTTCTTGGTGGCTTTTCACAGGTTTTCGAATTCTCTTTATTTCAGTAGGCTTTTGGAAATTGATTGTTACAGCACTTAATAGTGTGCTGGTTTGCTGATTTTTGGCTTTTGATCAATTCGATTTAAATGATTCTAGTCTTATGGGTAGTTACATTGCATCTTGATAATTATCTGTTTTTGTTTATGGTTTTGTAATAACTTCTTTTGAGAGCCAACATGGCGCAGTGGTTTGACCACCAGACTAGGATTCTGGCGAATGGGGTTCGAATCCCTGCCCAGCCATGGAAAGCCACTGGGTGACCTTGGGCGAGTCACACCTCTCAGCCCAAGAAAACCCCGTCTTAAGGTTGCCATAAGTCAGAAATGACTTGAAGGCACACAACAATGACGGTAGCAGCAGCAGCAAAATAATGTGTTTTTAACTGTATTTATTTTAACTGTAAACTGCCTTGAGTCACACTATTGGGCAAAGGACAGACTATAAAATGAAACAAAAATATTTTTTCGTGGTCCAATGGTTGAAAAGTTGGACTCTTGCAGACTGTTTGGCCAAGGAAACCCATTGGGTGCCTTGGCTAAGTCACACTTTCTCAGCATCAGAGGAAGGCAATGGCAAACCTCCTTTGAAGAAATCATGGTTTAGATGAGGGGAAACAAAGATTTCACATGCAGGATTTGGAAGTGCTATCCTAGCTAAAGCCCTCTTGCTCAGCAGGATAGGGAAAGAGAGAATGCTGGAATTTTTCCAACAACCTGCAGGGTGACTGAGCAAGTCACACTCTCTCAGCCTCAGCCTCCTCTGAACATGCCTTTTTAAGGAAAAGCCCTGATAGGCATACCTTAGGGCAGTGATGGCAAACCGTTTAGAGACTGGGGGGGGGG